AGAACGTGATCTGGACATCGAGGAGCTAGAGTCGACCTCCGATGCGTTCGAGCTGAAGCTGGATGTCGCCGAACCACCTTCCTCCCATCTCGGTCTGGACTCGAGTTTTGCCGATACCATTAGTCGGGCAGTAGCCAACGTCCGACGGAACACGGTCGTTCCATTAATATACAATGTGGAGAGTAACGTATGTCGTTATGGCTTGAGCGCAGAACACAAGGATCCCTCGCGGCGGTCGGATGCAGAGTATCTCAAATTAGTTCAGCACGGTCTACGACTAGCCCCGGAGTTTGTGACAGTAGACATGTCCTACGACGACAAGGTACTTTCACAGGTCATAGCCTATAAAGGGTCGAGCAAAGTGATCGGGCACTTTGCTGCCGTGCAGCCACCGGCGCGGGGCTGGGATGACGCACAGTATATGGAGCTCTACGAGCGAGCCAAAAGGTTAGGATGCGACATGGTCCGGCTGACACAGCCGGCGGTGACGATTGACGACAACTTTGCCGTGCAACGTTTTCGCGACTACATTAAGTCCCTTCCTGCCCCGCAACTGCCAGTCATTGCGTACAATACGGGTCCATTGGGCCGGTTGTCATGCTGCTTCAATCCGACGTTGACCCCTGTCACTCACCCGTCAATGGTCGCGGAGACGCAATCGAAAGGACTGCCGTGTATCACCCTCCGTGAGGCACAGGAAGCTCTGTACGCCTCGTTCACTTTGGACCCCTTACACTTCTTTGTCTTCGGTGCCAATATCACCTACAGTCTGTCTCCCACCATGCATAACGCCGCCTATAAGCGATGCGGAATGCCGCATCATTACAAACTTCACCAGTCGTCGTCTCTGCGAGGCCTCAATGAGTTGGTGGAGAACCCGCATTTTGGTGGCACCAGTGTCAGCCTGCCGTTCAAAACAGAAGCCATTCCGCTGCTGCATTCCATGTCTCCACATGCTCGAGCCATTGGCGCCGTGAACACGCTAATTCCTATTCGGAGGCTAGGAGACAAAGCTCTCGACGCCGATAATTCCTCGCTGTACATGGAGAAGAGTCGCGCAGGACCGATCAAGGCCTTGCACGGAGACAACACCGACTGGATCGGAATTGGAAATTGTTTCCGAAGAGGCTTGTCGCCCGCGAATGCCATCCGCCCGTCATCTACTGGACTAGTTATTGGCGCGGGTGGCATGGCGCGCGCAGCCATTTACTCCATGATACACTTGGGAGTGCAAAATATCTTCGTCTACAACCGGACCCTCGCAAATGCCGAAAAGCTCGCCTACCACTATAATCGCCAGAACCTCCCTTCTCCAGGCCAGGCCGGGTCAGCGGCACGGCCTCAGGTGCACGTGCTGCAAACTCTACAGGACAGCTGGCCTGCCAACTACAAGCAGCCGACCGTCGTCTGCTCATGTATTCCAACTCACAGCATCGGGGGGCAGCCGGCCCCGAACTTTGAGATGCCAGTGCAGTGGCTCGAAAGCCCAACGGGTGGCGTGGTCGTGGAGGTTAGTCAAAAACCACTGTAATAACGCCCTACTTTATGAATGTCACTAACCAATATGCAGCTGGCGTATAAAACGCTCAATACCCCACTGATGAAACAAATCCGAGCACTTTCGCACCGTGGCTGGGTCGCTCTGGACGGACTAGATGTCCTTCCGGAGCAAGGTTTCGCCCAGTTCGAGTTATTTACAGGTCGCCGGGCGCCGCGACGGCTCATGCGGACCGTAGTCTTAAAGGAATACGAGGGCGAAGAAGGCCAATACGACGAGCAGGCGATCCAAAGCCGGATTGAGAGTCTAGATGGACAACCCACCTGAAGTACTCATTGGTCAAGAATATGCCATTAAAAGCCCCAGCTATCTAATATCGCGTAAGAAACGCCACCATTGGCTGCCCACCTCCGGCATGACCGTACCTGGATGGTCCGTCAGTCAGCATGCAGTCACTTCCGCGGGACTTTTTCCTTTTGGCACGGTGGGAGGCATGTGGACGAGCAATGCTTACTGAACACGAGCATGCACATACAAGCTAGGCATGGACGCCAGTCGCCGCGAACAATGCAGCAAACGCAGCATTTTGATCTTGCACTGTCTGTCTGCGCCCCACGATATGATATATTTGTGATGACTACTACGTACGTATACTATCAAGAGGATCACGACTATCGTTCTATATACAATCAATGACAAACACGATCAAACGATGAGTGCCAAGATCCCTTTCCTTAAAACGAAAATAGTAAGCAAGAAACATAGAAATTACTTATAACAGTAATAGAATTCTATGCAATGTAAGACGACTTAGTGACGCTGGATTCTAATTTCCACTTGGATTCCTCGTGATCTCGATTGGTTACTTTGCTATTTGCTACGGATCTGCGCATTCTGTCACTTTTCTATTAGGTTTACTGATGTTCATACTCGATACCCCTGCTACACAGCGTAATAGAATGTATTACTATTATTATTGACGCTTGATACAAGAACAATTTACTGCTTTGGTCTGGCAGGATATCGAAAGGGCAGAGAAAGAAGCTTCCATCTTCAGTCTGTATGTAATCAATCCGTGAGGAAGATACGGCATTGTCAGGGTTTCTGGGCATATCACCAAGATGCTCATGTATTGCACACTCATTGCAGAATAATTCAACAGAAAGTTCTACAAGGAGAGGGGCATGCTTTTTAGCGCGAGGCTATTATAAGTATTTTCATTAAGTTATTGTAGGCTGCTTAGTAGCTAAGCGCTTAAAAACAGCACCTTGGGGCTGTGTGCAGAGTCCCACATAGGCAAGGACGTACCAAGCCAACAGTAAAGCATTAATCCAAACCTAACCCAATAACAACACCAGCCCAACAATACATTAAAGTCCCAAGCAGAAATTATTCATCCATCCAGTCTTACTTCAGCTGCACAAAGTTTCCACACGCCAGGCGCGAGTTATCCGCCGCATGCACGACTACTGAGAGGTTTCCAAAGAAAGCAGGCTCACCCTCCACATTGGAAAGGAACCAGTCCGTGTACGTGGTGGTAAATTCCTCGTTGTCGGGCGCCCAGATCGGTCCATGCTTGCCGCTGAGGTCGCCGACTTGGCAGGTCTGAGGCGCATTGATGTCGCAGGGGGTGGCATCGCCACGGCCGTAAGGGTCCAGGTGGGCGCCGGTGCTGTAGCAGTTGCCGTCCTTAGGGACTGGCTTTTGGTGGATGTGGTAGACTGATCATTTCATGAATAGGTCAGTATAAATGTGTAGGTTTGCTATTAACTCAAGGTTTGAGTTTGGGTTCGGATTCGTATGGAAACTCTAAACACCCATATGATGGATCGATATGAAAGAGCGGAAAGAAATGGAAGTAAACGTACCCAACTGCTGTTCATTATCGGGGATGCCCCAGAAGTGCGCCGAAACAAGGACACCCACGCCGCTGGACTTAGGGAAGATGGTCACAGACCCGCGGACAGTGGTGTTATCCTTGGGCTGTAGCTGCGCGTAGTAGGTAACATCATCGTTGTCAGTGACGACGGGGGCATTGGTGTTCGCCGCAGCCGTGGCGGAGAGGCACAAAGCGGTTGCGAGGAGGGCAGATTTGAATAGCATCTTTGTTTTCGCGAGCAAATTTGGCTTTCTAAGAATGCGTGAGTGAATTAGTGGGTGAGAGGGTTTGAGCAGGTTTGTGAAGGATTTGCAGGTCAGATATAAGTATATAACTAAATGCAGGAGGAGAATTGTGGTACCTGAATGAAGAAAGAACGACGATCGCGGTCAACAATGGACGAATTTAGCGAGTTGGCAGTCGGTGTCTTTGTTTTTCTGTAACCCCTCTTCCCCCTTGATTCCGGGGCCGCTTTATAAGGAACCATGCATTGGCGGTGTAAGGAGACACATTGGTGAGACAATGATCCGTTCACACACCGAGTGTATTGTGAATCGGTGGTTGCATCCCTTGCCATGATCCGGATTTGTTGGTTCCGGATTGGGAGGGAAAGCCGGATGCCTGGGAATTATTGGAATGTCCGTGGGGGCTGTCAGAGAAACGGTTTCGGGCAGGTTACACCGGCATTGTCCTGCTATGGGTTCCTTGGAGATTGAGGGTTGAACTGGGTTGCCGTCAAGGTTGTCAATGGCAGGGTTATTCTTAATGTTAGTTTCCAGGCAGTCACGGGGTATCGATTTGGATCCCCTCTATGGGCTTGTATTGAGCTCATCAATTCAACACATTTCCCTGGCACGTTTAGTAGTGTGCCTTCTTGGCTTTTTAGTATAACTCAGTTGCTTGTTGTCTTCCTGCTCAGCATCCACCACCCCCGACTTTCTAGTCATTGAGTACATGTGAGCAGTCTAAGACTACTAAGCTTGGGACGAGTATGTAGTCTGAGTGAAGCAAGCTCTGACGAGCAACTCTGGATGCCTTGACCTTCTAAGCAGGAATGTATCTCAGCTAGTTCCGTGGCATGATTGCTACTCCCCTAGAGACATGCCACAGTTCATGGCTTGACTGAGTATCTCTCATTTGGCCAATGTTTATAATTTCACAGCGTTCTAGACTGTGTCTTGTGGATGCCCTCTGACAGACTAGAGTAACTGGCGGAATATCTACTTGTCATATTATGAACCGAACCAAACCAGCATATTCCAACAACATATACTACTTACCATTATTGGTGGAAATTGTAGCGAAGACATAATTGAAGGTGTCAGTTTGATCATCCTAGGACGACCTGCTATATATATTTGTCCCGCACAGCCATCGACAGGGTGACCACTCTATCTTGCTGAGTTTTGATGCCTTTTCACTCACAACAAGCAAAGACATGAAGTAGATAGTATCTTTCATCAGATGGAGATGAGAGGCTTCAACCCTCTGCGGGGTAACTGTGCCGAGAGACCCTGGGCTTATCAGGATAACTTCCCAATTCGGGCAATTTAGGCGCCGGATCATCGCCAGGCCCAGACTAGAACTTCCCCCCTCCATCCCATCATCGGTTGAATTTATTGATGAATGATCGACGGCCACGATGGACTCCTATCAGTGACAACTGACAGCTGCTGTTGCTCAACACTCCACTCGAGACTGCCACGAATAACGTCCATAGACGAGAAAACGAGTGGGACTCGCCTCGAGGTCCCATATGATCCATCATCCCCGGACTTCTTTGCGGTCCACCGTTTCCCATCGGAGCATGTCCATCTGCTAATTCTCCGAGTGGGTTCCGCTCCCCCTCGCCAGCTGTGGTCGACAATGGAACTATGGGTCCAATGTGGAGAGCTCGGGGTATTTATACAACGAGGGGCTCATAGACTTCAACTTGACCCTCCCGCCTCAGCCGCTCCATCTCTCGACAATATCTACGAAGATACAGTGACTTTGGATTACTCCCCGTCATGTCTCTTGCTCAGAGCAACTACGTGATCCAGCTCCCTAAAACACCCTCTTCTATCGGTCCGCTAGATCCTCGAGCTATTGCCCAGCGATGGATCACCGACCTGGAGGTTCTTCTCGCCACGGGGAATTATTCCCAGCTAGGAAGAGTCTTTCATGAGGAATCCTGGTGGAGGGACATGCTCGCGTTGGTCTGGGACTTTCGTACCATCCAGGGATGCGCGAAGATCCAAGACTTCCTGGCTGCCAACCAACCTCGCGCGGGTCTTTCTGCTCTGCGTTTGCAGCATGAGGGCAAATTCCAGCCCAGGATGGAAAGCCCCGTGGAGGGGCTGAACTGGATAAACTCCATCATCTTCTTCGAGACTAGTGTGGGGCGTGGCTCCGGGGTCATTCATCTGACGCAGAACGACGCTGGAGAGTGGAAGGCATATGCGATGTATACAACGTTGCAAGACTTGAAAGAATTCGAGGAGCCATTGGGCATCAGAAGAGCATACGGCACTATTGAGACAATGCCTGGTGGACTCAATCAGGGCAACTGGCTCGAGCGACGCCAGAGGACAATTGAATTTAAGGAAGAGGAGCCTACGGCCCTCATTGTTGGAGCTGGTACGCAGGCCTTGCCTTTCGTGCAGTAGAAGCAAGCTAAATAGGTAAACTTCTAGGCCAGGCAGGCCTCAACATGGGCGCTCGGCTCAATTCTCTCGGGATATCGCATCTCATCGTCGACCGGAATGAACGTATCGGAGATAATTGGCGGAAGCGCTATAGGGTGAGCTCTGCTTGCTATGTGCATATTCTGACTCGCCGTCTGACCTGTATTCATAGACCCTCGTAACCCATGACCCTGCAGAATTCACCCATATGGCATACCTTCCCTTCCCGAAGAACTGGCCGCAGTTTACCCCCAAAGACAAACTAGGCGACTGGTTTGAGGCTTATGCTATGATCATGGAACTAAATGTTTGGGTTCACACCTCCATCAAATCTGCCGACTACGACGATACCAAGAAGCAGTGGACTGTGGTGGTCGTCCGCGGCGATGGGAGCGAACGTACACTGCGCCCACGCCACCTGATCTGGTGCACGGGGCACTCAGGAGAACCCTTGGTTCCTAGCTTCGAAAACCAGTCGCAGTTCAAGGGCACAGTATATCACGGCAGCCAGCACACAGATGCATCCCACTACGACGTAGCAGGCAAAAAGGTCGTCGTGGTCGGCACTGGAAACAGCGGCCATGATATCGCGCAAAATTATTGCGAGAATGGCGCGCAGGTGACTATGCTGCAACGGCGCGGGACCTATGTCATTACTGTTGAAAAGGGTATCTTCATGATGCATGAAGGTCAACACGAAGATCACGGGTACGTCTTATGCCTGTCTCGAACCCGGATACCTCTAACTCTTGCAGACCTCCTACCGAAGAAGCCGACCTGCTGCATGAATGTCTTCCATTCCCTGTCCAATTTGCCTTGGGCGAGCATTTCACCAGGCGCGTGGCGCACGCTGAGCAAGATCTTCTCAGTGGCCTTGAAAAGGCTGGTTTCGCACTGGACTTTGGCGTCAACGGTGCTGGTCTTGGACGTACATATATGACTCGCGGCGGTGGATACTACATCGATGTTGGCTGCAGCCCGCTCATCGCCTCGGGAAAAATCAAGGTCAAGCGTAGCCCAGACGGAATCTCTCACTTTACGGAATCCGGACTTGTTTTGAAGGACGGGTCAGCCTTGTCCGCCGATGTCGTGGTCCTCGCGACTGGTTACGACAATATGCGCACGACGGTACGGAAAGTACTAGGTGACCGTGTTGCGGACCGATGTCGAGATGTCTGGGATCTAGACGAGGAGGGAGAAATCAACGCAGTACGTACTTCTTCCCGCATGCTTCAACTTTATCATCACTAACAAGCACTTTCTATAGATGTGGCGCCCTAGCGGACACCCCGGCTTCTGGTACATGGGCGGAAATCTTGCCTTGTGTCGGATCTATTCTAAGTTCCTGGCTCTGCAGATCAAGGCTATTGAAGCTGGCTTGGTGAGTGATGAGCAGATATAGGCGCAGGCTAAACTGTGAGTTAGTAAGTGGGCGAGCGATTGTCTCGGATATGAAAATCTACCAGCTGTGGATATAGCGAAGGCAAATCTGGTATTCGCGTTTTTGTTTAGAATTCGATATTCAGTAGAGCATAGTGAACTATGATACTTTCTACTACAGTAACCATAATATGTCTACGTAACGAATCTGTCTGTGTAATAAAGTGTACTTCAATCTGCCAAAGATAGTCAGAAATACGTCGAAATTAACCAAGCATACTATAACTAATAGTTACCTGAGAAATTATGATTTGCCAATCATGTACGGAGTAGACCTCCGAATTATGATGTTCACAACGGCCCGCACGACCACCAGTTATGCGCCTGACTCAGCAAATGCAGATTAGGGCAGCGCTAATCCCAAAGCCGCTAGACCCATCCACACACAAAGCGGAGTCGTAACGGATTTTCTCACGGCCCTCCAAGCGCGGCGCCCGGCTTGATTTTCTTCCCTCTTTTGATCTTTTGACCCGATATTCAGCGCAGAGCCACACCATAAGGATTTCAAGTTCTTTTGGAAGACTGTCAACACCATGTCTAAGATCACAGTCGGTATGTTGCATCTTCATCCCAACAACAGCAACACTATGTGCATGTGTATGATGCAGGATGCTAATGATTCGTGAACAGCCGGAGTGCGCCAGAACATCGAGCAGCTGCTCAACTACTCTCAGAATGAGAAGAAGAGGAACTTCCTCGAGACCGTCGAGCTTCAGATCGGTCTGAAGAACTACGACCCCCAGCGTGACAAGCGTTTCTCTGGTACCATCAAGCTGCCCACCGTTCCCCGTCCCAACATGACCATCTGGTATGTTACCACCACTACCACCACCACCGGAGAAGTACCTTCGGAATGAAGACAGAGGAAGGATAGAATACTGATGAAAGGATAGTGTTCTTGGTGACCAGCACGATCTCGACCGTGCCAAGCACCACGGCATTGACGCCATGTCCGCCGACGACCTGAAGAAGCTGAACAAGAACAAGAAGCTCATCAAGAAGCTTGCTCGCAAGTACGATGCTTTCCTTGCTTCCGACACCCTCATCAAGCAGATTCCCCGTCTCTTGGGTCCTGGTCTTTCCAAGGGTGAGTTTTTTTTCCCCCCCATACCTCCCTCACAGGGGTATCGTGCTAATAAATGAATAGCCGGTAAATTCCCTACCCCCGTCTCTCACGCCGAGGATATGGCCAACAAGGTCAACGAGGTCAAGTCTACCATCAAGTTCCAGCTTAAGAAGGTTCTCTGCCTCGGTGTTGCCGTCGGCAACGTTGGTATGACTGAGGACGAGCTCGTCGCTAACACCATGCTCGCCATCAACTACCTTGTCTCCCTGCTTAAGAAGGGTTGGCAGAACGTTGGTAGCCTTGTCCTCAAGGCTACCATGTCTCCCCCTAAGCGTCTGTACTAAGCGGGTCGCTTTTTCTCTTTTCTCTTTATAAATAAATAAAAAGGAAAAAGTTTATGTGTCACGCTGGGGGTACGACGCCCCTTTTTTTAGGGACTGGGATTCTGGGGTTGTGTTTCGTATCATAGTTTAGCTACTTATGGTGTGGGTTATAAATGTGATCCTGGGTTTTGGTCTCTATTTATCTTTCTTATGAGTTGGAGGTGGTGTGGTGTAGGTTCCTATTGTAGATAGTAGTATGGTACAGTAGATACAAAGGGAGTATAGTATAGTATAGTATCATTGCATTCCAGGCATCAACTCCGTCCGGTCCAGAATCATTCCCCTCATGCCGATAAATTCTCGGAGACTCTCCCACTCCTCGCCTTCCTCTTCACCTCGCATGTAGATATCCTTGAACCCCCATGCAAGCGCAACCTTGTCGAAGGCAGCCCGCTCCTCTTCACGGGCCCAACGGTGTCGCAGCGGGACGCCCGGTTGCCAAGTCACCCGCTCCATCTGGTCATTCGCCGTCGTGATAGCCAGGATTCCAACCGACGTGACTCCCCCCATGTATGCCAGACCCGCGGCGAAAGCGATACCCGTCGCTGTGCTCGGGTCCATTGTGTTCTGCAGCGTCGATGCCCACGAAGCAAGGGTATAGCAAGCCGCAGGCGCAGCAGCAATTCCACCCAAGGGGACCGCCGCCCTCTTGAAGACCTTGGCGCGACGGAACGCCGGGGTGCTATAAGTGGTGTCGATGATGGCCAACACTAGGGAGAGGTTGCGCTGGGCGATAGCGACATCGAGAGCCATGTCCGCGAGCTCGACGGGCACGGCGCTGTTGATGCTCTTGGGTTTGGCCTTGTGGTATCGGACAGGGGAGCTGTTCTCCTCAGGAACTGGTTTGTTGGCGTAGAGATGGAAGATCTCCGGGAAGTGGTCGGGACGTTTAAGCATAGCGTGGATCTTGGTGTAACAGGTCAGGGCTTCGGGGGAGATGAACACTTTCTCGTCTGTCAAGAGGTCATGGACTGATTTGCAGAGCTGATCAATGATCTGTTCGGGGGTCTTTCGGGGCAGTGTGGTGGTGGGTTGTTGCTTTTGTTTCCGGGTAGCGGCGTTCTTCCCTTCCTCTAGGTCTAGGAGAGATGAGATCTCGTCTGGTTGTTGGCTCTTGCCGGTGTCCTGCTCCGGGTGAACCATCGCTTCGGCAATTCGTTGGCATTGTTGTAGCAGTTGCACCACCTTGTCGTTGGGGGGCACAGAGTCCGTTTCGCTGAGTTCGGCACATTCGTGGGCGATCTGGTCCACGGCTTCTTCGAAGTCCGCTGGTGTGAGGTGGCTGGATTTGGTAGATTCAAACCTCCTAGGGGTAGGAGCGTAGGTATTCGAAGTCAAGGAGCTTTTCGGGCTTTTCTGGGGTCGCAATTGGCCTGGGCGCGCATTCCGGGTCAACGGACTGGATGCATAGGATCGTACGGATTGATGAACGGGCGCGGAAGGTGCGGATAATTGGCAGATCTGGCTGGCTAGAGCTTGCGGCCGAGAGCTCCTGTGGCCCCTGAGGGCAATGCCTCTTGTCGGAAGCATGGTTGTTGCTGGTATTGTGGTAGTGGTGGTGAGGGAAAACTACCTGATGGGGCCAGACAAAGACGGGGAGATGCGCAAGGCGGCGAGGGCACCAACTGAATTACTGCCGCCACCAAAAGCGGGTCTCCAGGAACGACTGTCTGGCGTCCATCGACCTGACGTCCCTCTGGAACTCTCCTGCTTCTCCTCCATCAGCAACGCCCCGTAGGCAGCTGCTTTCTTTCAACACCACCCTTTCTCTGGCAACAGCAGGCCTCAAATGATCCAGCCAGCCCCAGCAGATTAGATCCCTTCGTGATCGTCTACCCACTCATTACTCCCTTCCGATTGCAAGCGTCATACCTCATCGCCTACAAACATCATGCCTCCCCCTCCGCCGCCGCCGCCGCCGCCCGGAGGGATGGGAGGTCCTCCCCCGCCTCCTCCCCCCGCGGGGAATCTTCCCAGCAGACCCTCTGGTTCAGAAGCTAAAGGCCGGGTAAGAAGATCTGGTCTGCCTGTCTAGGCAAGTTGTCAACTGCTAATGCCTTGTATAGGGCGCACTGCTTTCCGATATCCACAAAGGCGCAAGGCTGAAGAAGACCGTGACCAACGACAGATCGGCGCCCATGGTTAGTGGTGGAGGAGCGAAGTCTTCCGGTCCTGCAATTCCAAGCGCTCCGCCAGTTCCGGGCATGGCGAAGCCTCCGACAGGGCTTGCACCACCCGTCCCTCCGGCACAGGCAGCGAACAGGCTACGAAGCAACAGCGATACTGGTTCAGGAGGTGATGCAGTGGCGGGTGCCCCGGCGGCGCCTCAACTTGGAGGCCTCTTTGCTGGAGGCATGCCTAAGTTGCGCAGTCGGGGAGGCGTTGACACCGGAGCTAATCGGGACTCCCCATATCGATCAGATGCGGATGGTTCGCGGAGCGCTCCCCCGCCCCCTGCTATGTCCGCCCCCAAACCGCCAGGTGCTCGACCTCCACCACGCCCTCCAGCAACAGAGTCGCCTCCTACTCCTCCAGTGAACCCGTTGGTTGCAAACCTCCGGAAACCACCCCCGCGACCGGCTTCCAGGCCGTCATCGACGGTTTCGACTGCGTCCAGCAGATCCGCCCCTGACGCTCCCCCGCGCGCACCGCCACCGTTGCCCGGCTCCGCCAAAGGCCCGCCGCCGCCTCCAGTATCTACAAGAAAACCCTCTGCTCCTGCTCCTCCTCCACCACCACCACCTCCTCCATCAGCTAGTCCAGCTGCACCTCCGCCACCTCCTCCGGCGGCTGCTCCCCGACCTCCTCCAGCGCCCGCACGCTCTACACCCCCTCCCCCTCCTCCTCCCGGCGCGTCCGCTCCACAGCCGCCGAACGGCACAGCTGCTGCGTCTATCGCCGTACAAGCTGCCAGAAATGCTCTCGGACATGCGCCACCACCTCCTCCCCCACCAGCGGCCTCGGCCCCATCAGCTCCCCCTCCGCCTCCTCCCAGTGCTCCTCCCAGCGAGCCACCGTCGCGGCCATCACCTCTGCCGTCTAGCATAGCACCTCCTCCACCTCATCAACCAGACCGATCTACCCTGGACCCGAGCGCCTATACCCTCAGCAACGGCGGGCCGTCACCGGGATTAAGCCCTCGCAGTCCAGGCGGACATGGCATCATGCGGGTGGACGATCATCGGTTCAAGTTCCAGAGCGAAGGCTTATTGCCCAAGCCTCGACCATTTGTGGGAGGCACCAGGCGGTATCGGGCTGGACGAGGCAGCAGCGTGCCATTGGATCTGAGCGCATTGGTTGGGTAAGGGAAGTAGTGCGGCGAGACGCGTGGTAGATTAGTATTTTTCTCCAGACTTGTGGATTTGCTTAGCAATTCGCATATTGTTAGTGATCGTAGGGTGTTTAAGGAATGAAGATTGGTCTTCAGGTCAATTGCATTACAAGTTGCGCGCTCTGTACGTAGTATATGTATTATACTAATCTGTACCAGCTGGACTACTGGACCAGGCAATACATAATGAAACAATCAAAGCTCCTTATCTGATCAATCAATTAAACGTGATCGCCAATGCGCAGCACGGGACAGCTCCAATCACGTGATCAGTGGACGCCGCATGGAAGCTGTGAGGATCCGGAGAAGCACGCCGCTGCAGTCACAACATCCCAGGCCAGACCTCGTTGCTGTTCTTCCTTCCACCGATATACCTTGTCCCTCACGATTAGCGCGTCCTTTACACGACTCTCCTCATTTGTACAGAACAGCTGGCCGACTTCGGAGCTTAGTGTGCAGATTCCCCTCCAGCTTGACGATCGAAACCGGGCGACGAAGTATTTGCTGCGAGTCAAGCTACTAGCTTCAAACCTAGTGCAAACAGAGTGCATTCGACTTTGTTACGGAACTGTGGTTATTCTTCGGATCGCCTTTTCTACGACTTGACTGGGTTAGGCGACCTCGAGTGGTGGTGCGATTTTCGTTACTTGGATTGTTTTTCCGTTCGGGATACCGGTGCTTCAACAGTACTTCACCCTCGCACATTTGATCATCATGTCGCTTCACTCTTATATCAACAGTAAGTGATTGAATCCCATGGGCTCTACTGCAGATTTGGTATTCAGTCCCTTGGTCAGTGCTAACGCAGTTATTTTTGCCCGGCGTATAGAGAAAGTATGCATCCTGACGGTTGACGGCCGCACACTGCTGGGAACATTACTCTCTACCGACCAGCTAACGAACCTGGTTCTCCTGGACACGATCGAGCGAATCATCCGCACCCCCGACGACCCGGAACCAAGCTCCCAGATTGAGCATGGGCTGTATCTGATCCGAGGCGACAACGTTGTTTTATGCGGAGAGGTTGACGAAGCCATTGACAATGACATCGACTGGACGAAGGTTAGGGGAGAAGTGGTCAAAGGCACCAAGAACGCATGAAACAGCGGGGAAGTGATGTTTCGATGATTATCTACATGACAAGGAATTTTTTTTTTCTTTGCAGCAAGAAGAAAGGGAAAAAAGGATGAGCGTTTTAAGTGTACGATGGAGAAGTGGACAAGAGTTTCAGCGTAACATTGGTGGCTAGTGCGTATATGGGTCAGGCGGACCCCCATCCTTCTCTTTGTGGTGGTCTTTTCGTTCGTCGATTAAGGGGAGGGAGGGAGTAAGCGCGTGCCAGTGTCAGTGTGCCGACCAGGGGGGAAGGGTTGTTATGAAGGCGAAAGAAAGAAAGCTACTACGCGCGCGACAGATTTACGGGAGGGGATTGGTCGGTACCAGATGATCCGTGGACATGATCGGTGCGTCGTCGGGCGGGGATTCTTTTCTCATGAGATGAGAAAGAGAGAGTGAAAGAGCGAGAGAGCTACAAGCGGGACGCGCATGGGCTCAAAAGGGCGCTCATCTGATGTGATGTCGGGGCCAAGTTTAGCGGCTCGACGGGAGTTCTTGCGTTTGGGAATTGCATGGAATCAAGGAAAGGAATAAAAAAGGAAGTTTGAGATTGTCAAAACAAGGCATTGGGATGGCTGAAGGAATGGGAGAGGGGAGAGAAGAGGGGGGAGATGATACTACTAGTAAGTAGTAGTAAGTATCCAACACTCCTGCGCGGCAGGGTTCCATTGGACGGCAGTTTCATTGGGTGTTGGGGGAAAGCAGCCGATGTGATAGAGGGCGCGGGATGTTCAGGGCATCGGTTAATATGGATATGCAAGGTGATCAGCCCTGGATAGGGACCGCAGGGGGGATGATTGTGGAGGGAGAGGGGAACGGGAAAAGGACATAAGTTGACCATTTAACCATATTAATATCATAATCAATATGAAGAAGAAGAAGAAGAAGAAGAAGCAAAGTCACTCATCACCTGATCTGATAATCATAATCAATATAATGCCCTTGTGGCCATGTTGCATGGCATGCATCAAGTAGTAACTAATAGCCATGCAGCAAGTGGCACATACAGCATACATACAGTACCAAGCAGGCAGCATCTCTAAAAGTACTACTACTATCTATGCATTGTCTTGTGCTATTCTTATACCTCCAACATTTATTTAGATACAATTACTTATGCCACCGCAGACTACATTGCACTGCCCTGTGCACAGCAAATGATTGACTAAAAAGAATCCATCCGGGTGAACAACGCAAACGCGTCCCAGACTCCATCATCCAGTTCGGTTACGATGATGAGATTGATTAGTGATTACCAAGTACGTATTATTCATTCAGGGAGGATCTGACGCTGGCCGTTTTCGGATTTACGTTTTGTGGTTTGGGCTGTCCCAGGTTTTCCAGGGGCTCGTCCCAAGTGGTTGGAGATTTAGTTTAGCTTTTAGTTTTGGTTTTAGTTTTCCCCCTCGTGAGATTTACCCATTTATTATTATTATTATTCCTGCCTTTCAATTTATTTTATTTCACTTATTATGGGGAGTGCGTCTCGTCTTTGCAGGTGGAGAGAGTGTACTCCGTATGTATGAGATCTTTCCCAGCCCAGGGACTTCCTCAACAATACAACCACCACATAAATCTAATTAACAATCTAATTATCATGAATTGAATAATTAATAAATGAATTCAAAGAATGCGAAAATAAATTTAAATGTGACAGCCTGCCCCGTTTTCTCTGCCGCCCGCCCCGCCCGTGCCAAGTGCGGCCCAAAACCCGACCGTTCAAAGTTGAAGTTGCAGTTCAGTTCAGTTCAATTCCCCTGATCCTCTCTCTGTTACCTGCTCGGCGTCCCATCCTCTCCTCTCCTCCTTTCCTTCCTCCCCCGTACTATCCTCCCTCCCTCCCTCTCTCCCTCTTACTACACTCTGACTCCTCCTACCTCCTCCCTCTCTCCTTTGCTTCCTATCCTCCCTCCTCTCTCCTCTTCTCCTCCGTTTGTTCTGTTCTTATTCTTCTGCTTCTGCTTCTACTTCATTTCTTTGTCATCATCTCTTCTGCTTCCATCAACATTCCTCCAGACCGCTTCAATCCAACCTGCAACAAATTCCCCTCCTCCTCCCCCATTATCTGACGCCAATCTTCCCCGGTCGCTGGGCGACCGCCACTTCCTACTGCCTCTCCGCTATCAACTACTACTGTGCCCTCCTTCCCCCTCCGGTTCCGAGCGCGCCCTTCATGTTGTTGCGACCGTCCCAACACACTTGTCTATACCCCGGGGTCAATTGGTCTTTCTAAGCGCTAGGATTTCCCTCTTCTTCCCGCTGGCATCGTTAGGCTAGTCCGTGGTAGCCCGACTTCCTTCCTCTCTCCCTCCCTCCCATCTCCCCGATCTCTCCCTCTCCCTCCTACTCCTCCCTTACTCTCCTCCCCAACCTCCTTCGTCCGATTCTGGTGGCCAGGCCAGAATGTGGCTCTACCGTGGCGTGCAGTCCGCTGTATTTTACTACGCCACCTGCACCCCCTGTGCCAACACCCTAGACCGCCACAAGCGCAAAAAGGAAGCCGTTCGATCGCAACGCGAAAAGGATAGGATAGATGCTACCGTCACCGACCAACCGAGACCTTTAGCACAACCCACCGCCTTTAGTACCAACCCAGGATGGGCCGAGGAAATCGCTCTCGGTCCCGGTCCTCCCGCTAGACGAGGTGGTCACCGCAACGCCCATCGCCGAACCGACTCTTGGAATACCGGCATATCGGCGGACTCCACACAGGATGTGAGCCGCGGGGGCAACTCGGCGAACAAGAAGGATAAGAGCAGTTTGAAGCATCCGTTGGGCGATCGGTGGAGCCGCATGCGAAATCAGCGCGAGGACGAGCCGTTATGGGGTCAGGATGTGGAGGTCAAGGGTTCCTCAGTCGGACTCTCAGGCCGCGGTAAAGCAGATGCTGGCTCCTCCAGCAAATATTACATTGCTCGTGTGCCCCCAGTCAACGACCTTCATCCTCCCATCGTCAGTGGACCTAAGAGCCGCGCCGAAACACGATGGATGCTACAACCCCCGCCCAGTGCTCGAGTGATGGCTGGCAAAGAGCGTTCTGGCGATACTGTCCGCAACAATGACACTAGTGGACAACGCGTAGACGGTGACCGAAATGTCAAGAAGCCCGTCACTCCTGCCCAGCAGCTCCCTCCCATAGCCACCCAACCTGCCGAAAAGAAGAATGCCCCTAAGCCTTCCCCGCTTCGCATGGCCCCCGACGGCTGGTACGATCCGAGAGCCGTGGAGGACGATTCGGAAGGAGACGACGAATTCTCTCCGCCCTCGTCGCCCAGAATGATGTTCGGACGTGATCAGGCCAATTTTGTAATCTCCCCATCATTCCGCTCGCGCTCTGATTCGTGTTCTACTCTGTCATCACCTGGCGATACCGAAGTGGAGTCTCCGCGGGTCTCCTTGCATCAGCCCGGGACCCCGACGTCACGGCCTGTCTCCAAAGCAACTCAAGATAGCGGTAAACATTTCCCTCCAACGATCTCACAAGCCCTATCTACCTTGCAACGTGACAACAACAAGGTTCAATTGTTGCATTTGGAAATCAATGACTCGCCTGACGATATCGGATTAGGTCATCTTGAACGTCTCCGACCTTGGCGTTGGAGTATGGATATATGACCCTAAAGATCCGTCCGCCTATCCGCATATCGCCCAGATCACTTGCCTGAGGGCGTGTCATATTTCCTCCGTTTTCGTGCATTGTTGAATCATGGAAGCCTGCTTTGCTCTTTTCTTTTTCTCGTGTTGCTCCTTGGGTAGCAGAAATACCCCCTTTCTGTTGGATTTCTTTTCTGTTGGTTTGTTTTTGTGTATGTTTCGGCGTTGGCAGCAGCTAAAAAGCGTTCCGTTTTGATGCCCCTTGACCCATTCCATGGCAGATATATTTCTCGTTGCATCATACTGAACAGCATGGGAGTTCCCTAACGTGTGTATGCATGGCTGGGCCAACAAACACATAATCCTTCATCCACTCCCTCCTACATCGGGCCATGAAAGACTGTTCACAACATCATCCAACTGAATCACTATCCTTTTTGACTCGCTGCACGCGCTTTGCATCATTTGCTACTCTTGCTTGGTTTTGACTATTGTGTGTGTGATGTTCCTGATTCCTCTGCGCAGAGTACTATCCCTAGTCTGTTTTCTCTTTTCCTATATCTCTGCTTGCTTTGCTTTGAGCCGAATTGCCGTGTCTATCTGTCTGTCCTTGCTTTTGCTCTCTCCCTCCGTTCATTCGCTCTCTTGTTCTCCGAACTTTACCCTTCATGTATAATACTTTGTTTTAATACATATACTTAGATCGTTCTGCATAGAGCTGAATGTCTGTTATGGTGTAGCGTAGACCCCATCAAAATGCACGTATAGTATAGAATACCCTTAAATAGATTACATTTGAATGTCATAGTGAGTATGCCCACGACTAAATAGAATACCTGATCAGGAAGGAAGTACGTCAATCCTGAATCAGTCATAGATGTTAACCTACTGTAATTACTTACCTAAAAAAGAAAGAACGTGTTCAGATCAGTGAACATGCCCCACATACATACATAAACAAAGCAGTCTAGGCAGCACCTCCAGCACTGTCTTAAGACTTTATAACTATAATACTTAGAACCCGCCAGAAAACAAATACATTTTATCAAATGATAATACAGGAATAAAACTAATAATTATCTTATTTGAATAATAATGTAATATAGATATAATCCTTTAATAGTTATCATTTAAATCAAATAATATATAATAATTTTATATATCATATTTTTTTTTTACTAAGTGCTTGAAGGCATGCAGATTCAAGTTTAGATAGTAAATAAGAGGCTGACTACAAGTTAATATAGTCGTTTACTGCTATCTGAGCGCGTAAAAGGAACCAGCATTCCAATTCAAAACCACATCATGTTGAGCAAAAAGCAGAAGACGTTGCAGAGTGTTGTGTGACTTGAGGACAGTTAGGTCTTGTGCGGTATGTTCAAAATTTAATTCCAAGTATGCTGTTAAGCCAACCTGCAAGGACTTTCAGCTTTCAGAGTCTTTGGCTGTTTATCATCAGGCATAGAGTGCAAAAACAAGACTCCTCAGCTTTCATGGTCAGCTTACCGTCCCATGGAAAAGAAATGTCTTTGCATTCATATTATAGTTTGGGGAAATCTGAATATAATATATTCAAGAGAAATCCCCAGTACCTCACTTGGTATAGCAATCTAGTCAGGTTTAAATCTAACTAGCCATCTATGTAGCTGATATAAGGTCATTCACTTGCTTCCTGGACCACAGACAATCTAGTTAGTTCGTTCTGTATCTGGCTGGGTTGTAGAAGCACCAACCGTATAGGGCACACGCCCCGTTCAGCAAAGAAATAACAACACAAGTATCCCCCACACTCCCATCGGCAGCGCCAGCGCCCACGACATGGTCTTCCAACCAGCATGATCCCGAATGAATCCTCCCAAGAAGGGGCCTGCCATTGAACCCGCAGCAAAGGCACAGTTACAGAGCCCACAGGCCAATGCAATTGCGGTATTCCTACCTAACGCCCCAGGCCATGCCGTCGATGCCTCAAGTGCACGATTAGTCACTTCAACCATAGTTGGTGTCTCAATAAGTTCAACACAACCACCGATCAGTGCTAATAAGGTACAGAGAAGAACCTTATGGCCAATGCTATTCTCGGTAATAAATCGCAGGCTTACCATTAGCGGTACCATCGCCAATAGACCCATCGTAATCAAATAGCAGCGGGTCTTAGGCCAGCGGTCCACTATATACCCAATGCCGGGATCAAGAACGTGTGGCACCATCAGGGGAATGAATATAAGGCCTTGAGCAGTTTGCTTCCAACCAAAGGTGTCACGGACAAAGAGTGGTAATGCACTATCGAATGCCGTTAGAGTCGTAGAGAGAAAGAAATAGACCGTTAACGCGAGAACCATCCGTGGAGACCGGAGTAGAGCGAAGACTGCCTTATGATTGGTTGGTTGACGCGAGCTTCGTGAAGAAGGGTCCATGAATTCGAGATTGGTTGATGTGTCGTCTTCTCGACTGGAAGCACTGGCTCCTTTTCTTCCTCCCGAAGCGGCCGTAGCAACGGGAGGAGTGTCTTGATGGTCTGATTGTCGCTCATCGACAAATATCTGTGAGAGCTCCATGTCCGTACTGTGTTCGAATGTTACCTGATCTTTCTCCGTTTCAATGATCATCAACCGGAGGGTTAGGTCCAAAGCTATCAGCGCAAATGCTAGTCCGAATGGGGCGTAATAGCCCGCATGTTCATAAAGGACTCCACCCAAGAGCGGCCCAGCAGTGGCTCCTATTACTGTGGACATGGCGAAGTAACCCAGCGCATTGCCCAGTGCATCTTCTTGATATCGATCCACTAGTAGTGTCATCCCAACGGTCCAAACCACCGCAGCAGCTCCGCCCTGGAGTAAACGCCCCAGAATCCATAGAGATAGGTGTGTTCCAATGCAGAGGAGCGTCGTGGCAACCGCTAACCCCGCGAGCCCTGCTACGAAAAGCCACCGGCGTGATGCAGTGCGATCCACAAGATATCCGCAAAGAACTAGGTTTTGTCGTGTCACACATAGTGTCCGCTGGCTGCTAAAAGGGAAATTGAAACTTACGAGAGGCCATGGTCATCGCTGCACCATATAACGCAAGAAGAATCGAAGTCCAACGTTGTACTGCGAATATATTTAGTCAGTGACACGACAACCAGCCATAAATTAAACCAACGAGCAGACTCACGTTCTCCCAAGGGTAGCTTGACCTTTTCCGAGAGAGCATTTGGAAGGATAGGAATGATCTAAAAACATGAACTTTCTGAACATAGTGGACGCTTTTTTTTTTCCTTTCTTTTTTTCTTTTTTTCTTTTCTTTGATTTTCGAGAGTCCGCTTACCAACCCGTAAAGAAGCATGTCCTGCAGCCAACACATCATTAACATTTTTTGCCTGGAATGGTGGCATCAAGCAGCGGGCCATACCGTCATTCCGGCAAAACAAACCACACTTAAAACGAAGCTCCTCGAAGACCGCCATTTGAATAGTGTCGCTCCCCACGGTGCTTTGCTATGACAGGCAAGACATTGCGCAACGGCCGCCATAGTCGGATGATACGAGCGTGCTCTCTTGCCTACCAGTTCCCGATATAAAACCCAAAGTAAAATCAGGGAATTGGGCAGGATATATTCAGGACATGAATAATTATTCTATGCTTGCAATGCAAGGGGGCCCTGGTTATAGTTCCATTCAGTCAAGGGATGGAGATGGTTGTAGCAGATAATGTAAGGAATTTCCGTTAATGTTATCAGACACCGAGCGGCCCGCGAAATGCCCTAGAAGCATTTATAGATCGCAATAAGCATTATATTCCTTATTCGAATCAACTAAACTGTATATACTGAGAAAGTTTGATTTGCTAGGGCATTTTCTACGTGTAGGTCCAACTAGACCACAATTGCTGCACCGTGATGGTGTTCGTTTCTTTGGCTCTTGAGCAAGTTGCTGCCCATCACTTCCTATAAGAATCCCTCCTTCTGATATATGTGCTCTTATAATATCACGCTTACGTTTTTTGGCGTTGATTGGCCGCATTGAAGTCTTGGGCCATGCGAAGATGATGGAGGAGAGTCATCTTCTTGACAATACCCACGCTATGGATCGACAGGTACTAGATCTGTTTCTGCAAATCCCCTGCATATATTAGCTGCAGAAAATGCTCTTGTACGGGTATATTAATAGAGCATGATGAAATATTTCTTGTCACTATTATGATTGATTTTGATCTGCATGCTGTTTTGGACCTGGTTGGCCATAGAACTCGTTGAGTGTGACGGCTCATATATGATAGCTTATATAGCGGTTCAATATTACAGCAATAAATAATACATCACAAACACTAACTATCTAGACTTATTATTGATAATCTTTTGGAAAATCTTCATATATAGATAGATTTCTATCTTTTCTTTTCTTCTCTTCCGGATTCAATAATCTTGTCGATGGCTACAAAAGTCTAGATAGGAAACCATTTCATTCTTATTATCTATTATTCTGAGCCCGTGACATTGGCAGGTGCAAGACAGCTAACATCAAGTGGCTGCAGGCGATGTGACGAATGAGGTGGCAAATAGAGGGGGTATGGTGAAGTGATCTTTATAGAAATGTTTGAAGTCGGCAGCAGCATGGCTTCCATGGTTATCTGGAATAAGCAAGCGATATCTCCCTATTGTCCATGATGTAGTATGTCTTTCAGAGACTTGCTGAAGCCATTGGAAGGTAAGACAACACAAGCCCGGCAATGTCCGTAACGTCTATAAGTAATGCTTACGTAGCTTACGAGCTATGTTTGACTGCTACGTACTCTATAAAATTCATTCCTGAAAGACATGGTCCTCGTATTGTAGTTCCTATCGTTGGTTCCCTTTTGCCTTCCTGACGGCACTTGTCCATATGGAAATCTGACAACAAGCACCGCATCCATGAGGCAGTGAGCCTGTAGTCCGTACTCCGCATCACACCGCATTATCCTCACTCAAATTCCGTATAACCTTTTGTCTTCTTCAGCGTACTCCTTGGATAGCTTTCTCTGCTCTGCTTCAAGCTCAACTGGAGAAGAGGTATGGCAGAAAAGACAGTCGCAGGCATGGGATCAATAACCGGAACATCGAATCCCGAAAGCCCAAGGCGCTTTTTGATTTCTTCAGCACAACCTATAAAACCAGTGCAACCTAGGATAATAGAATGTGCCCCCTGATCTCTCACCAGAGCGAGGGCATGCTCAGATAACCTATTCGTCATTTCATCGACTTCGCCCTTGATTTCAAGCGATCGCATATCGATGGCATGACAACCGACAAATCTGCCCTCGTGACCGTATGCTTTCACCGAGTCTTTGATAATGGGGATGGACTCTTTCAAGATGGTGACGACGCCAAATGTATCCGCGAGACTGGCACATATGTTCATTGAAGTCTGTGCCACACCGAGGACTGGGATATCGACCACTTCTCGCAAGGTATGCAAGCCGGGGTCACCGAAACAGTCAATGACTATGGCATCGGCTCCCTTTTGTGCTTCTCGTTGGGCTGCTGCAATCAGGCCGGGAATTGCGAATGCTTTGTCGGTTCGCGATTCGACGGAAATTGGTCCAGTGTTCACATTGACGACTGAGCAGGTGATGCCGTTTTTGCACAGCCCTCCTAGTTCCTCGCTTGACAGGTCGACTGGTGTCGATACAGGCTGAATGATCGAAATGCGCATATCGAAGAATACCACACAGACCAGCCGGCTTCTGGGTAAATGTTTGAAAATGGGGGTTTTCAGGTATATTTGCGGTGCAATTGTGAAGGTTGACTTCAAAAATGCGTAGTCAATTGTGGTTGAAGTCCCGAGTCTGTATGTGCTTTGACGGGTAAGCGATGGATACCTGACAATCGTTCCCTACTGGAAGGTTCTGAAGGAAAATAATCTACTCTCGTCTGCATACAGAGTGAGCTAGCAGGGCAAAGCTCAATCGCATTTTAGCGGTGAGAATGGGCGCAGTGTATGCATTGCTGGCGCACAGCACTTGACGAGGACGGCTCGTATTTTGTGCATGCGCGAAGGAATTTGGGCTTCCTATTGCCGTCCCGTACTTGCATTAGTCCCGATTTCCGAGTACTCGGCATTATTCCTGTACGTCCAACTAGTGAGATCGAAGATGAATTCTGCAGGATAAATTACGAGATCTATCTTGCATCTCTACCCGAGCGTTGAAGATCGGTGAGCAGTGTAGAACCAAACCCCGAAAAATTACCTGGCATGCAGGTAAATTTCTCATGAAATGCCTGGCCATTATTTTCTATCATCTGCAGCCCAGGCCAAAATAACGTAATAGAATCACTTCGTATCTGCCACTGAGCAGGGAATTGACCGTTAGATCAGATTTGGATGTTTACGTATGCTGCTGCGTAAGATTTCTCAGTAAGTGAAGTTCTCACGGCTTGGGACGGCCTTGCAGATGAACCTCACGAAGCCCCTACATACAATTGACTGATTGATTGATTGATTGATGCTTTCATGACGTGGCATTTCCACTCCCTTTGGAGGGCTACAAACACCGAAGATTGTAAGTGGTATTGTGGGCTAGCTCCACAGGCATTTGCAATTGGCATCTCGTGTATATAAGGGAGCTTTAAACCCGAGTTAGGACGGGGCTATTGTTCACAACATCTTCAATCCAATTTGTCCTTCAAGAAGAAACTCCCTCAAAATGACCAAGGAATACGTCGAGCCTGCCAACATCCCTGTCGTTGACTTCAGGGCTCTTACTTCTGAAAATCTTCAGGAGCGTAAAGATGCCTTGAACCAGCTTGATGAAGCCTTCCAAACATACGGCTTCATCTACCTGTCCAACCACAGCATTGGACAAAAGCTGGTTGATGAAGCTTTTTCTTGGGTACGGTCAACACTTAGACATCTAAATTCATTATCTCTAACGATCCGCAGTCCCAGCGCTTCTTCCATTTACCGAACGAGGTTAAAGAGCTTTGCAAGCACAACACCGTTGCAGCTGATCACCGGGGCTGGGCAGCTGTCGGCACTGGCATTGTCAGCCAGGATGTCTGGGACCCCAATGAGATTGAGAAACTGCGTAAGACCGCACCTGTTGAGCAGAAGGAGATTCTCGAAATGGGTAATCCTCGCTCTAAGGGTGGCCCAGGCGAGTCGATCGTGAACCGTCTGCTCCCCGAGGACGTTTTCCCGGGATTCAGGGCTTTCCTCGAAAGGTGGTGGGACGCTTGTTTCGAGCAGCAGCTCCAGGTTCTACGAGCCCTCTGCGAGATCCTGGGATACACCGATCTGGACTACCTTGGCAAGCAGCAGGACCCCAGCCGCAGCCGAAACCATATGAGCTGGCTGTATTATCTTTCTCAGCCTGTATCGCCATTGAAGTCGGGCGAGAGCAATCGATTGAACACACACACCGATTTTACCCAGTTGACCCTGCTCTTCCAAGATATGGTCGGAGGTCTTGAGATCCATGATTATGAGACAGGGATTTTCCGACCTGTGCTTCCTAAGCCTGGTACCATGATTGTGCATGTCGGTGACATGCTGGAGAAGCAGTCAAACGGCAAGTGGAAGAGTGCTTTGCACCACGTCTCTGCCCCTATGCATCTAAAATATGGGGATGAGACTACAAACGAAGACACCGTTGTTGAGCGTTTCTCCATGTCGTTTTATGGAACCCCTCAACACGATGTGATGATCGAGCCAATTCCAGGTTGCGAGACAATTGGAAAGTGGCGCACCTTGGAGTGGGAGCCTAACATGACTGCCGGTGCTTGGATCAAGAAGAGAGTTGCCCTTGAATATGGAGATGGACAGGAAGAGCCTCCAGTTGTTGCTTAAGTGCGAGCTGCAGGTGCTCGTTTTCGGTTTTCTTTTTCTTTTGTTTTTCGGGCTCTTTCTTGTCCTCCGTATGGCTTTCCTACCACAGTTAGATTTAAGTAGCTCCATATTTAGAGTCAGCTTTCATAAAGTGACAACTGAATAGAGACCCATTGTCAATAATAAACAATCGAAGGAGTTTGAATCAACTTGTTACTACGCTAAAGAATGTTAAATGAATTTCAATCCTTACAAGCAGTCCTGCATTTAATTGACATCTTATATTTCCATCTTTTGATGTCTTGCTTGTTATACTCATTCAGAGACTCCTTGCTATCTATAAGTATCGGTTCCAGAAGTTCTTGTGCTATGATTTTTCATGCTAATTCAGTTCACCATAGCTATCATTTCCTCGTTTCCCCACTGTCCTTCTCAATATTTATTAGCTAATTAGTTAGTTGGCTAGCTACATCTCTCTGGCCTAATAATAATCTTAATGTAACTAACCAACCAACGAGAGATATGGTTTATCTTTGATCTCTAATTTAAAAGCTCTCTTGTGTATCATATATCATTCTAACTATACTCAATAGAGTCTAATTATATTTATACTAGATGGGACCTCTAGCTAAAAGAAGCTGTACCTCTGTGATACCAAAGGCTTTCACTGATATCAGTAGACTCTAAATGAAGTTCTCTAGTAATATCAGTACATAACTTCGCCTATCCGTATTAATTAACTCATACCTTTACATGGATAACACAAGGCACTCATAGATTGTTAACTTATGACGGTAACTCTAATTCTATCCAATTCTCACCCCCTTATTGAGCTTGCCTCGTTTCGATCGGCATTTCATGCATACGGCGAACTCCGTAGATGGGCCCATGACGCGAGGAAGCTACAGGTGCAAGGTAGATTGGCCCAATATATTGATCTTTTATCCAATCTTGGTACAGCACATGTCTGTTTAGCCGATTGAGTTTGGTCTCGATTGCAAGTGACCCATGTTCAGTTGCGTTGTCGGGATCTGCCGAAATGTTGTCGAGAGTCACAAATTGTAACAACAAGCAATAAGAACTTTATTCATTACAGCAGGTGAAGAGCTCCTTTTGCTTTACTACCTATGAATAGAAGCCTACTGAAGGTGTCAACTTCATGGTTGGAAAGATGGGATCTCTGATAGTCAACATGGTGTCAAAACCCAACCCAGTGGGCTTTAGGCATAGATCCTCTGGAAGATATACCGCTCGCGCATCCGGTAACAGGCTAATATTCTGAGTCAATAGACTCATAACGCGCAGACTAATAAGCTTGCAGGTGAATGTGAGATCTGGGATCCTCACATATGGATGTCAGCTGGAAGCCGCGTAAACATGGACACTTGAGCGGAGCACATACCCGGGATATGCTTCTGGGGCTGGCTGAGTCCAGCGCAGCTTTCTCGGCATGCATACTGCATCTCAATCGGAACTTTCTTAGTTCCTGTGGTGCTCCAATCAAAATTACATTTGTAACAAACCTAGTCGGCTAGATTCGTCCTCTATACACTTGCATTTGCCCTGCTGCTTCCTCGCCTTGTATCGGGACGGCCCAGCCTGGGTGCAACGGGTTGAATATCCGGTCCCCAATTCCATTGGTAATTTACAAAGAATTGAGTCAAGTTTGTATTTCAACCAGAATCGTAATTTTAAATATTCATTTGACTGGTATGGACTGACGATGACCTCCTTCCGGCACCGATTAATCAAAGTATCTCCTGCAAAAGGACTCCTACAAAAGCCCTCTTAGATGCAGGGAAGATGGAAATAGATGGAAGACTCAAGGGAGCTGAGCAATGACCTCTTGGCTGTATTTCCAATTATGAACTTGGAATGCTCGAAATGTGGCATGGAATCTGCAAATTCTGGCAAGTATATGATGCTACTTGTGATACCTGCGTCATTTGACTGCCTCCTTTGCATTAGAGGTTTATCCCTTAATTTACTGTTCCAGTATCGTTCAGTGTATCACAATTGGTATATGCGATGTCAGTATGCACGCGAATCGATAAAGGCCGTAAAACATCCCCGGAAAATCTGCCGAACTTTTGGGTCATTCCAAATCTGAGTTACATATTCTAGCCCTACCTCTCTCTTCACAAAGATGTCTATACCGACCGATATCGCCAACCTACTGATAGGGGAGGATGCTAAGCTTTCAATTCACTTCGATGAAATTCCTCTCTGCAACGATGGACCTCGCAGTGGCCCCAGGTTTTACATGCTTTCCACAAACCGTGCCCTGAAAGATCACGAAAACAAGGAAGACGACCTCCGATACCTGTCTAAGGGCATACAAGGTGCCATCAGGCTAAACCAGCTACTTAATGCTCCCCCTCATATCATCAAGGAGAAAGAAAGCACCGCCCAAGATGAGGGGAAAGCTGTAATGCGGCTTGGGGAAACCACTATGGTTGTCGACGAAACTTTTGATGCGCACCCTATTCACAGCCACATCTGGAACTCATTCATGTCCATTGAATTTCGCTTCCCGAAAGCGGATTTCACATCTCTGCAATATCTACAAACTTCCTGGAAGGGTCTCGAATGCGGCGATACCCTTTTCACCAAGGAGGGAACCCCAACCTTCGAAGAAGTATCCATCGTTTCTGGTGTTTGTCTCTTCAATGCACGCCTGTTAGAAATGAGTACAACGAGTCCGAAAACCGGTGGTGTTGATGTGGATCTGCTCAAGAATTCAATTCCGACATACAATGAACTGGACTATATTGCTCGCGCGTCAAGCGCCATCGCTGACGTGGCTGCCATGAACATCTTCAGGGCTTGCGAGCAGGGCTCTGGACAGCGACTTAACATCAAACTTGACATCCCTAGCTGGCACTACTTCCATGCAGTAGTCACAAAATTGGCGTCAAAGCAATGTTCGAACACTGAAGCATTGCAGTGGATGGACGCAATTGACCAACGACATGATCAGATCGGTCAAGTCTTCGTGGAAGCCATCAGAGATGAGCTTGCACAACGAGGGATTCGCGACAGCACCAGCTATAATCTTGGCATAACATCCCGGACAAATACCGCTGCGGTTTTAATTCGAACAGCAATTGAACAGGAGGGAGAAATTCCTCTATTGGATACCATTCTCGCCGCA